TCCACTAAACTATCGCAAAACCAAAAAGTACCTTGATACCACTCATTTTGTTTGGATGTGTCAGGATTGCTAGAGGATGTTTAAACATATTTATTAATGACAGTTTACACACACACACACACGCATGCACGCACTCGCACACACACACAATAACAACAACAACAACAGCAATAATAATAATAATAATAATAATAATAATAATGATAATAATAATAATGGGCTGTTATTGATTTGTGTTTATTTCTGACATTTTATACAAACAATAACAACACCAATTATGTGTATTAAATGTTATTTTTAATTATGTTATTATGTTATTATTAATAAAATGTTATTATTATTATTAATGTTTGAGGAACATCAATACAGTTCTGCCTTTCAACAGTTTTAACTTTATTATTATTATTATTATCATCATCATCATCATCTTACAAAAATTGGTCACACTTTATTTTAAGGTCCAATTCTCGCTATTAACAAACCATTAACTATGCCCTTTGCCTCAATAAACTCCTAATGTGCGGATTATTAATAGTTAGTAAGGTAGTTGTTAAATTTAGGTATTGGGTAGGATTAAGGATGTAGAATATGGTCATGCACAATTATGTGCTTTATAAGTACTAATAAACAGCCAATATGATAATAATAGGCATGCTAATAAGTAAGTAGTTAATAGTGATAATTGGTCCCTAGACTAAAGTGTTACCCAAAAATTATATTCAATACTATTCTTCACTTTCACACATCATTTCAGTGTTCACAGGAAACTGAAGGAAGGCCTTGTTCAGCCAAAACTCTCTTCTGAATTAAAGTTGTCTTTATTAAAAAACAAAACAAAACAAAACAACAACAAAAAAAACACATGTAACATCACACACTGACTATCTTTGCTCTCTTCCGGAGACCCTAACACTGATTCACAAGTCACTCACACTACAGTCTCTCAACAAAATGCCAAAACATCCCTTTAACAAGTTCCTAAGACAGTATAATTGAAATGCAGTTTCCATCACGTCTGACTCTCCTCTAGTTCTCAACTACAAAGCCCAAGAGCAGACTTGATCTGTAATACTGAGAAGATACCAGAGCCTTGGGAGGGCAGAGAGCTCAGAGCAAAACAAGATGAATGTGTCCAGACCACTGGATATCTGTCAGAGCAGCTGTTGTACTTCACAGGGCCCTATTCAGAACTTTTCCATCTGAGGTTTACAGATTCAAAAAAAGAATAAAACGAATTAGCTCTGTTCCAAAAGTGAGCTGTTTTGATATCAGAATCCTGCCTTTTAACCAAAAGAGAGCCTCAAGTATGACTGATTTGAAATATTTTCCTTCAGTATGGTCACTCAAACTGCACACAAGTAGCCCTCCTTACTTCAAATGCAAAAGATACTTGATTAACAGTAGAATTTGTGGTTAGCACGCTGCTATAATGACAATGCGCTAAAGCAAAACAAGCACACATACCTAAACTAGATATCCTATTAACACCTTTCAGAACTGAATGAAAAAAACATTTCCCTCAAAGTATCTGCAATGCATTCTGTCTTTGTGGAAGGATATGTGTGAAAAATAGAGGTGTCTTAGAAGCAATCACAGTTTTGAAAACTACATTTTGAAACATCTTTTGCATTTAAAGTGCATTTATAAGGCCTAAAAATGCCGCCTAGATAGACAGCACACTAGATTTTGAAACACAGCAACAGTGTCTGGTTTAAGGATTTTTTACAGTGTTAAGCTGCTGGAGAACATTACAATCTCTGATGGAGATGTGATGACCCATGCAGAGCCAGGCTAATGGGTGGAGACTGTCTGCTAATAGTGTCGTTTACTCTGCACTTCCAAATGTCACCAGGCACTCCTGCAAAAGCCAATAGCCAGGCACTGACGTCATAATGAGGGACACAAATTGATAAATGTCGATTAGGAAGCATTGACCTACAGCTTTAGGTCTGGGTGACAGACATGAGCAGTCAATTATAATTTTATTTCTGCCTGTCACTCTTATATTCTCTGAGGAAGCAACGCATTCAGAAATGGCACAGCATATTTTAAGAACAGTGACTTGTGTATAAAATGTATGACATGCATTTTCTAATAATATTTATTATTTATTTATTTACTAATAATATTTATTATTATTATTATTATTATTCAAGTTAAATAACCTTTTTTCAATTTCAATATTTTTTATAATGTAATTTACTCCTGTGATGGCAAAGATGAATTTTCAGTGTCACATGATCTTTCCATAATCTTTTTAATATGTTGATTTGATGCTCAAGAAACATTCCTTATTATCATCAATACAGTTGTGCTGCTAAATGTTTTTGTGGCAACTTCAGGACTCTTTAATGAACAAAGTAAATGCATTTACTGTCACTTTTGATCAACAGTTCTTTATATCTTCATATCATCGAAATAATACCTTTTATTTATAAAGTGCTTTTCTCATATCTAAAGCACTAGACACACTTTAGCCTCCCATTATTATACTTTATTAGTAAACATGGCTTCTGACTTTAAAATGTTCTGTCCTCCACTTTTCTCTTTTTATTTTAGTATTCCTTTTAGCTCTGCAGTTTTTAGAACTGGCATTGCATCCACCTTGCCTCCCTGTACCCAAAGCTCAATGCCCCTGCCTGTGCAGTACTGTGCCTGATGGGCAGTGCGATGCTCTCTCTCTCTCTCTCTCTCTCTCTCTCTCTGCATGTGTGTGTCTGCCTGGCACGCTGTCTTTAGCCGGTGTCAGTGGTGATGGCAGCCAGCAGCGTGTGGTCCAGCTCCTGTGTGACTGTGACTGGCCTCTGGCTCTACTCTCTCCGCCCCACATTGCTCATTCCTCAGGGCTATTCTCCATCTCCCAGCATCCCCTTCGCCTGCCATGCATATCAATCAATTTAATGGGGGTGCTTTCAGACGAAAAAACACTCGGCTAAACTAAACTGGGTCAGTATCCTTTCATTGGTGACGCAGTTGAGGGGAGGGGAGGGGAGGAAGGAAACGGGAAAACGAATGATAGAGACTGACAGATAAATATGTAGATACATGGACAGATATTTGTATATATATATATATATATAGAGAGAGAGAGAGAGAGAGAGAGAGAGAGAGAGAGAGAGAGCGAGAGAGAGGGGGAGAGAGAGAGGGAGAGAGAGAGAGGGAGTGTATATATATATATATATATAGAGAGAGAGAGAGAGAGAGAGAGAGAGAGAGAGAGAGAGAGCGAGAGAGAGGGGGAAAGAGAGAGGGAAAGAGAGAGCGGGAAAGAGAGATATATACAGGACACATAGTCCTAGAACAGCAAGGTCTGAGCAGCTGCTGGGCCTCTCACTTCCATTAAGGTAAAAGAGGGCAGAGGGTCAATATAACAAGCGGCAGCACGAGTCATTAACCTGGATAGCTAAAAGTCACATCACAGATACAACAGTTAGTGTCTAGTCCTCTCAGAGTTGACACATATCTACTCAGTACGGACTCCAAACATTAGTTTGTACTAAAATAAGATGATCATAATAAACAAAAGCTAAAGAGGTTAAGCTGTTTACTATTATTCATGTTCAGGAACATGTCAAAGCAATAGTTATATTAGCATGAGTTTTAATTTTGATTTTTTGCTATTAGCAGCAGAATAAAAAAAAAAAAAACCTTCAACCGTTTTGGTCTAAAATAATAATGTCATTTTGAAAATGGCACCGTTAACTACAGTATATAGTGCTTTTCACAATACTTTATTTAAAACAGCTTTACAGAAAATCATTGGATGTATGTAAAAAAGGTCACTGTTTCACTCGAACCGTAAAATTCGTACATGACTCAAAAACACACAAAATCATACTTAACAAAAAAAAGTTGTGAAATTGTGATTTTTGTTCCTCATATTTTAATTGCAGGGGTGTAATCTAAGGAATTTTCTACATTTGTCATAAAGGCTGCATTTATTTGATGAAAAATACAGTGAAAACCGCAATAATGAAGTATGAAAATTTTAAATAACTGTTTTGTATTTTAATACATTAATAAAACATAATTTATTCCTGTGAAGGAAAACCTGAATTTTCAGCATCGTTGCTTCAGTCTTCGGTGTCAAATAATCCTTCAGAAATCATTATAATAGGCTGATTTGGAGCTCAAGTAACATTTCTTATTCGTATTTTCAGTGTTGAAAACCATTATACAGCCTAATATTTTTGTGGAAACTGTGATGCTTTTTCCCCCAGGATTCTTCAGGATGAATAGAAAGTTCAAAAGACCAGCATTTATTTGAAACATACATTTTTGTAACATTATAAATGTGTTATTGTCACTTTTGATTAATTTAACTGATCCTAGATGAATACAAATATTAATATTTAAAAAATATATATACATGACTAAACGGTCTGATATTTTTAAACGGTACCGTGTTTCTTTTTCATTTTTACTTGGTACCTGTATCATAATTTCCCATTCCTCCCCTGATGCCTCACACTTTGATAACCACTGCTTTATTGAGATTAATATTCATAATCACAGAAAAACAACAACATTGCTGTGCATCAGTGCCTTTAAACTATACCTGTGAGAAATCCCAAGCTAGACAAACCCTGACGCATAATGCATACCATGATATATTAAACACCTGGTCCACCATCTGCTTCTGTACGATACCCTCACACTATGGAGGCAAGTTCACATCGAATGTCACAGCAACAGTGCAGATGGTCACAATGTTACGCCCCTACCTTTAAGAAATCTTTACAACAAAATAATTACCCAAGAACACATAGTTTCTGATCTTTCTTTAGCTACAGCATCTAGCATATGTGGAACAGATGGGATACTGACCTTCTAGAGAGCAACCAAACACTTCAAACAATGTTCGACAACAATATTCTCGATGTATGGCAGCATATGCTATGCATAAGACAAATTTCACAGAGGTCTCGGTCGGCTAGGCCCCGTCCCGAGCAGATGCTGAGGGATGAAGTATGGTGTGGAAAGGTAAAGATAGCACTCACCGGTTCTTTAGCTTTCTGCGCTAACACCGCAAAGGTGGACAGCTTGGTGCACAGGCATTTGGTGTGGGAGACTGTCGGCGATGGGAGCGTTTGGCAGCTCTCTGCGTCCCAGTTTTCTTCACCAGCCTCTCTGTTGATAGGGTATACACACAACACACACACACACAGAAAAAAAGAATGAATTAATTGGGTCATTCCATGAGAGAGAACAGGAGAGACCGTAGTGAGTTATATGGTGCCATGAGAACTAGTCGATGACAACCCCACTCCAAACGCTCTCAGCCACAACGGCCCTCAAGACACATTATTTCTGAACTATAATTATGTATCATGTGCTTGTTAAATCCTTCTTTCATTTATCCATTAACAAGTCATCTTTAATTTACAGTATGCCTATATTTACACTACCATCCAAAGGTTTGGGGTCAATACGTGATTACTTTTAATAAGGAAGGAGACATAAAATTTATCAAGAGTGACGGTAAAGACATTTATAATGTTATAAAAGATTCCTATTTCAAATAAATGCTGTACTATTCATCAAAGAATCCTAAATAAAATGTATCAAAACTATTAAGCAGCACAACAGTTTTTTGAGCGTTGATAATAAGACGTTTTTTAAACATGAAATCAACATATTTGAATGATTTCTGAAGAATCATCTGACACTGAAGACTGGAGTAATGGCTGCTAAAATTCAACTTTTCCAACACTAAACCAAACTACATTTCAAAATATATTACAATAGAAAACAGCTATTTTAAATTGTAATAATATTTTACAATGTTGTTACTGTATTTCTCATCAAATAAATGCATACTTCTTTCAAAAACATTTAATAATTTGACCCACCCCAAACATTTAAACGGTAGTGTATATATGCGCATATTTACATCATCTGTTTCAAATGCTTTATTTTATTTAATTATTTTGTACGTACAAGCTGCCAATGTGACCCTGTGAACTTAACATACTCCCAACATATGCACATCTTGAGTTTAGGGAAGAAATAATGGGAATGGAGGAGGGGGAGTTTTAAAACATTTGTTAAATGTAAACTGTAAAGCTTCATGTTGATCCTCAGATTAAACTCACTGCTGAGGCCAGATGGTCGGACTAAGAAGAACTTCTAATTATGGATTCAGCAAATAGTGTACAACAAAAAGCACAACTGATTAAATATGTGTAACATTCTGTTTCCACAACTGAAAATTCAAGTTCAAAGCCTAGTCAAGTCAGATAAGGCTGTACATAACCGGTGAAGTGTTGGGTCATTTTTCCAGCAGTAAGGGTAGTGCTGTGCTCTTTGCTAGTAACCAAAAAATGGTCCATGAATCATCACCATTGTGCCCTTGAGCAAGACACCTACTTTAGTCAACATGAAATCAAAATTCAGAAATTTCTTGTGAGCAATTCATCACTTCATGTTATTCCAAAGGAGAAAACACTTTAGCAAATGGCAATTCGTCATGTTGACTTTACAAAGTTACAATGAATGAGTCTTTCAAATGAACAAAGAATAAGTGAACTTCATCTACTTCCAAGCAATGATTTGTATTGTAAGCAGTAATAGTCTTTTCCGTTCACTGAGGTCTCTCTTTTGTATTTGACCCCTTTAGAGACTTTCAAATTCTGACTATAGCATATCCAAATAGCCTTACTGAATCTAAATGAGCTTGGCTGGGACAATACCATTTATATATCAATACACATTGATGTTGCAAATACATCTGAAAGATACATGAGGACACAGAGTGAGCTGCTGGAGGAAAGGTGCACAATCCAAATTGTCCAGCAGCCTGCCAGATGTGCGTACTGTATAATTTGAGACCAGTTTTCCTCAGCGCATAATTTACATTTTTACGGTTGTATCCTTATTTGTAAATTCACATGAGTATTACTATTTTGCACAAAGTGTATCTGTTAAACTTCACAGACTTCAATGAACGAGCACAAATGTGCATTTGCACATTAAACAGACAGAGCACAGTAGAATGGATAGTGCAATAATTCTTGAAATGCTATATATTTTACTAAAAATGGTTTGCATCCAAAAGTAAAAGCTCTTAAAATCTCTATAAACTACAATACAAAGATATACTTTTGAAGTTAAAGACAAAGCCATAGTTTCTTCAGTAACCAGGAAGATGGATAAAGAAAAAATAAATGATTTGTTTTTTCTCCCCGTTGTACTGAAAACATACCAAACCAAGGGTATGTACCGAAACATCAAATTTTTCAATCATTTTTTGTGTAACATTACATCCCTAGTAAACATAGAAGAGGTGGTACATTATTAAAATTCATTTTTTTTATCCTGGTATTTTTATTTCATGGAGTAAAAGAAGCAGGTATATTATTATGAATATCTTAAATTATGAGTTTATGAGTCTGTAAAGTCTACTCAAGCGGCAAAAATAGAGATAAATCCCAATGTCAACTTATAATTACAAGAATAAATAAATTAGGACAGGAATTCATGATATTAATTAAAAAAGGTCTGTATACATAAATAGTTATTTCTTTTAATTATTAATGACTACATTGATTACTATTTTATGTTCCCTCAAGGTCAAAATTGTTTAATCAAACATTTGCATCACTTTTGTGTGCAATATTTCTGTTTAAAACTCTGCATCTTATTTACTAACAAGCCAGATTTCAGTTTAAGTCAATGTCATTTTTTTCAGTGCAAACTTTCTATGCAAATGAGGCTTGATATAGATTGAGCTATATTCACTTTTAATTTGCCTGGCATAAATTACACTATGCTATTGCCGCCTGTGGTATTTTGTTTAAAATAGGTGTTTGTGTAGATTCTCAAGCCGTCAAGCCAGCAGTGATTTATCAAATGATGATCAAATGATGGAGAGGCACGTTATAGTGAGGCATTTATACAGGCTTGTGATTTAGACTGCAATTTCAATATTTTAAAGTGTCAATTCAGGCTTCTGGATCACAGTGCAGTGATGATGGACAGGTCTAGTAAAGTATGCCCGATTGCAGTAGTCTTCACAACCTAGTCTCACAACTGCATGATGGGAACTGCACCATGCAAATTTCATTGGGCTTAGGCTAATCAATAAGAAAACAATTCTTTAAGTGTGAGCAATTCATTCCTAGTGCAAGAGTTTTGTGAAATATCAGTGAAACCTACGCAGAAGCAATACAAGAGCACATCTGCATTGTCTACCTTTTCATCTCTCTCTCTCTCATAAACATGCACCATTCTTTTCTTCAATACATATGCTCCCACAGCTAGAGCTCAATAAATAAAAACCTACCTAATGCAATGTAAGTGCAATCTTTCTCTTGCCTTGATCTGCAGATTGACACTTCAGAGGCAACTGATCTGAGGCAACTCCCATTCAAAGTCTCTCTGACGCCAACAGAAACAAAGATGAGCCGACCGACATGTCAATGGAATTCTGGGTATTTCTAGTTGGGCTAGGATCAAGCACGGAGCATCAGGTGCAAACCTCCCGGGGATATTAATCAACAGCAGGTGAACAGGAGCAGGTGAGATAAGAGATACGGGGCTTTGTGAAAGATCATCTAAAACATTGTTTGGCAGGTGAGACTGATACTTTGCTTAGATCAGAAAATATCCAATTACTGAGCTCTCAGAATGAGACAGGTACGCTGTCCGGACAACATAATTTACCGCCCTTCGGGACATTATCTTTTATGCAAGATTATACCTGCTGGAAAGATGTTGTTTTGAATGCTGGTTGCCAGTATGGGATGGCTTTTTCATTTAATTTAAAGTACCATGTAAATCCCATACTATATAAATATGTTAACCATTCAGTGCCATGGGGAAACATATATGTAAATTACTAAAAGTTTGTGTGTCAAAAATCCACACAAATGCAATATCAACAAATATCAATATCAAAATCAAATATAAATTAAAAATAATATCTGCTATAAATGAAAATGTATGAATGAATGTTCAGTCTGGCAAACGGTCATGTTACAAATTATATGAAAAAAAATGAAGTATGTTCATACAAAAGGTCAATCTGTTTTTTAATAAACACAACATTTCTTTGAAACGAATGTTCAAAGTTCTTAAAGACTTCAAAGATGTGGTCACATTAGAATATTTTCTGTGAAATTTTGTGGGTAAAAAGGTCCATTGTCTAATGTCGATGTATGAAGCACAGCTCACAGAAGCAATTTTCAAACCAAGCAGCTTTCTGTTGGTCAACATGACAAATTTGCACAACCAACTTGAACTTGATGCAAAACCTATCTTGGGAAATATTTCGTCCTCACATTAAATTGCAGATCACATGGAATCATATTGAAATGACTGGATTTCACCCATGAAAATTTACCAAACAGCGGTGAATGTGACAGCACCTTAAGGTTTGTGTCTGCACATACTGTATATATTAAAAATAAACCAGCACTGAGCATTATACTGTAAAAGGTGGGACTAGCCCCAGTCGCCCTTATATCAACATACCACGGGGCTTTAGACTCTAAGATCATCAATGAACCATAACTTCACCAAAAAGATCATGCAGGTACTATGAACCAAATTTCAGCAGGGCTAATTCCAGAAAAAAAAGAAAACATTTGCATATGTCCTACACAATTCTATTCACAATTAAACTCCCACCCAAGTATAACCTCTATAGCCATTCCTATGCTTCAAATAGCATCAGAAAAAGCACATGGGCACACTGTGTACATACCCTACCTCTTTACACTATTAGCCAGCATGGTAAACAAACTCTGTGAACCTTTTCATTTCTCCCCATGGTTTGAGGTTTTTCTCTCAGTAGCTCAGTAGGCATTTTCACTCTTACGCTGCCACTCTGTCGTACACACAAAAGCAAATATACATGCTAAAAGCAAGGGCAAACAGGGTAACATATGGGGAATGAAATGCCACAGCAGTCATTTTTCACCCTTTGGTATGTGAGTGCGGCTCCATTATTTAATTAGCACATGCTGTGATAGGTTTAATGAACCAGCAGCGTGCTCCCTTCCTCATCAATGGCCCGGCCCGTGTTTGTGTTTAGGTTCCTGATTAAATGACCAGATCTGCCGTGACAGTAGTCTGGGGGGATCAGATTACAGAACAGACCAAATTGACTTTGTCCCCTTTTGTTTTTAATATCCACTACAAGACGAGCTGCCTCAAACCACTGGATGAAAACATGAGATAAACGCTGGTAAAAAGAGATCAAGCTGTGGTGGATTATAGCAGCTGTCGTCTTGACAAAGGGTGGCAGTTAAGTTGGACTTGTGTCTACCGTGAAAGCTGAAAATACGCCTTAAACAAACAAATTAAACGTGGATTCTGACAGCTAATCCATGTGATGAACAGTTTTATTTCTGGAAGGCAATTAATTCTAATCTGGTTATAGGCACCTGTGTTATGAGCTAAATATCCCCTATATGATTACAGTGAAAGGGTGTTCAGAGAAGAATTATGGGAGTGTTAAAAATGAATGCAGAGTATAAAATGCTGAAAACAGTGAGAAAAAAAACACTGTGAGAAAGTGATCTAAAAGGGAGGAAGCGAGAGAGAAAAAGACTGATAATTAGCTCTGGATGTATAAAGGAAAGGAAATATTACATGACAAGTGGAATATACTCAATCTGGCATATCCTTTTCACTATAAAACAAGAATTTTCTGGAACTTAGTACATGTAAGACCATTCATAACCAATGTTAGTGATATATTTAGGGAAGTTCTGATACATTTAGGAAAGAAAGGGAGCTGGTTGGGGGAGCAAGTGTAGTTCTCTAGGCACAAGGCTCAGCCCGATATTCTGGAAAAACAACTGCATGATTTTGAGTATTATATGGCTTTTATCTGACAGTTCAATAAACAATAATTTATTACTGAGAAACTTGCACTTTAGACACAATATTGCCAGGTCATGTTTTTGCACTGCAAATGAAAATAGTTACAAAGCTACAAGAGCACCGAGCAACACAAAGTTGTAATGTTTCATTTCTGAATGTGTAAGCATTTTTTGAATGTTTTTGAAACTGTTTGAGTTTTTGAAAGTTTTGAAAATCTGAGTGAATGATTCAGTGACTCACTCATTCACTCGTTCTTGAATGAATCAGTGTGCTCGAACGAAATGTCTGAATAGATGAATCTATGAATCACTAAATCTCAATTTATGAATGAATCAGTGGGTTTTAACGAATCGGTTGAATGAATCAATCTTATAAGTCACTTATCGCCATGAGGGTAAATCGGGGTTTAACACCCTGATAATGGAAAAACAAATCGGGGCTATGGGAGTGGGAAATAAAGTCCTCCATAAAACTTTAACACGCTCTTAGCACCAGGAGAATTTTCTAACCTGTTGTACGGTAGCTAGTCACTGAAAATCAGCACAAACAATATCTCGATATGTTCAGCTTTTTGGAGACTTTTGTTGAAGTCTTCTGCTTCAAAGAATTTCCTCCCGAGACTACCAAAGTCTGCAAATCAAAAGTCAGAGATTTCTCATTAAGTTCTTCCAAGATCAAAGTATCTGGACTACGCTATCCACATTGATTTAATAGCTCTATACTTGTACTGAATGTCAAACAAATTCTAATTTGGCCAACTGATTTTAGGAGAAACATCTGAGACAACATTGAATCTTACACATACCTGCAAAACTAAAACTATCTCTGAGCAATCCTTCTTTTTTTCCATCTGGGCATGTTGCCTCTGATCCAAACTACTGCAGATACTGAAGCATTGAAAGTAAAAAGTTTTCACCCAAGTATGAAAGATCATGTCCTTGTCCTCAGAAGTAGAAACACACACAATGCTTTTGATTTAGTGTTGCAATCATGTCGGAATGCATGGAAAGTGCTTGTCATTGGCTTTTCACCTTTGCTTTCCTGACCATAATTGTTAAGCTTCTTTAAAGAGATCAGCCTTCCTCCCGATGCTCTGATGGGAATGATTCCAGGCAGGTTAGCAATGCGTGCGAATAGCGGCCCTGCACAACTGGTGTCACAGCTTCGTCAAACAACTACAATAATGGATGGAGAACTAAAAATAGCCCACAACATCAAACGAATGAAGATGTAGCTAGCTAAACCAGAGCAAGAAATTCACAGTCAACTCAAGCAAGTCACAGAAACCTCAGCAGATCTTACTTCCTTTATGTCTTTGCCCTTTTATATGCCACAGTTTCCAAGAGTTTGAGATCTTGACAATCAGATTTAAATGATCTGACAAAGAAGTTCTTTATATTTAATATAATAATGCATTCATTAATATAACACTCACAGGGAAGATGAGAACATGCGATTTACATGATTAAAAAACCCCAAAATGATTGATGATCTTTGACTTTTTCCAACATTCAATCCAGCAAAAGCTTTGATTTACAAACTATCCAGTCTATTGGTCATACTTATTTATTTTCATTGGTTAAAAAAAAAACATTAAATATGTATGTACTCACCACAGTGGTGTAGTCTAACTCCACACAGATGCTATATGTAAGCAGACAGACGCTTGCTGAGATTCAATCTGCTGGTGTTTCGATTGACACACTAACACTGTCCCCTGCCCTGGGAGCCACTCCCCCAACAAACACACACACACACACACACACACACACACACACACACACACACTCTTGACTTCCGACACACACACTCTAAACCACCAGTGGAGATGCAGGGTTATTTCCGCATCAGGTGTTTTGAATCTAAATATAGAACGCTGACTCTTTAGTGACTCACAGATGAACTCAAATATACTTACTCATTGAAGAATAGCATGGAAAGCTCACCTATCGCATGTGTAATGACATGAGCAGCCCGGTGTAGAGATGTAGGTCTAACCATGGTAAGACAGATAATGGCGCATGAAGCTGCTCTCGTGGTGAGATGGACTCAGCATTATCCCAGTTCAGCTCATTTTAACCATAAGATGCTTATGTCTCACTTTATTACAGGAAGGGGGGGGGTGGGGGTGTGTAACCAGGGGTCGCACAAGTTGCGATATCACAGCGAGGAGGGAAGAACTGCATCCGCCCTGATATTTCGCTAAGATAAAAATCCCTGTAAGCCAAATGGCTCCAGGAATCACTATTAAGTTGCTGTGATTATTTTCTCTCATGGTGTCATAAAAACAGAAGCTGTTCAAGAAGCTGATCTACAGTCCATTGAGTGAGAGAAAGTCTGAGTCATGGCCGCGTTAGAGAGAGAGCTCCATGCTTATTTTCAGATAATGAGCGGGTGCACAGAGAGTCTGTAAACCAGATGCCTGCCCTGAATCACATGCCAAAAACATCCCACAATGCCTTCATCCTGCTGTTAACATATACAGCAGCTTTACAGTGACCTGAAACAGATCTGTGATACAGTTGTAATGGGTTCTCTGCCATCTGAACAGAAAATTATCTGATCTCTGTGCATGATACACATTTTTAGTATATCTTTATGCATGGTAGGCTTGTAAACATATGTACACGTATATTGAAAATACATATTGTTCAGGAACTAATCTCTTTGGATTTGAGACTTTAGTCTTTGCAACTTTACAGATCTTCTTTATGCACCAAGAGCTTGTAACACTCCAAAGAGAAAGGAAAAATTGAAATCGCATCATATGACCCCTTTAATGCTACATGAATATGTATTATATTATTATTTATATTTATACCATAACAACTCCTGGAGGGTTATGTACATGGTAATGTACATGGCAATGTTAAAGGGATAGTTCACCCAAAAATGAAAATTCTGTCATTAATTACTCACCCTCGTGTTGTTCCAAACACGTAAGATCTTCGTTAATCTTTGGAACACAATTTAAGATATTTTTTGATGAAATCTTAAGATTCTTGTAATTATACTTACTCATATTCATTTTTATTTATTTCCATTATGATGCCACTAATTTTAACTGTAGGGTTCAAAGCCTTTGCTGCAAAACATTAATTCATTGAACGACTATCAACTAGATGTCAATGGCTTTAGTTATTTCAAACATTTTACATTAAAGGATAATCATGAACAGTAATACAGTTTCAGCTTCAGCATCCCACAGGGTGTTTGTTTCATTTTAAAGCTATTAATGAAGGTTTTATTTTTAATTTTTTTATCGGTATGTAAAGTCACTGGAATGGGTAATACAGTTTATTTATTCATGCATTTAATTTTATGGTGTTCACATTATAATACAAAGGATAATAATGAGGAGTGGCTACAACTTGCAAAGACTGTGAATCCCATAGGGTGTGTTAATTTAATTTTAGAAGCATTGATGTGGGCTGACTGACCGACCGATTGATTGATTGATTGATTGATTGATTGATTGATTGATTGATTGATAATATACCTGCTGGGAACGATATAATACATTTAAATATGGGTTAATAAATAGAGAACACAATATAAATAAACACAAATAAATCACTTATTTTCCTGACAAATATCATCCATTTTGCATCAGGGGGGATAACGGCATAATAACATTCTACGAAAATATTTTAGATTTAAATAAACTACATGTTTTGTTGAAAGACAAATTTAGTTGAACTAAACACAAGATCCACTACATTCTGTCAGATTGAAGAAGAAAAAGAGCCCTGTGTGTGTATGGCTAGTAGCTGCATGCTTTCACACAGCAGTGGAGTGTGGTGGCCTAAGGGTGATGGATGGCAGTGGTGCGGATTAGGAGCCAGATTAAAGAATACATTCCATACCTACTCAGAAAAAGGTTGTTGGGATCAACATCCTGTTATTTACCCTGTCACTACACTCCCTCTGGCATGAGCTCTGCCCCAATAAGGAGCATGGGATTCTAGGTCAAAAAGAGAGAGCTGCTAGTGGCAAGGTCGAATTCCCAGGCTCAGCCTCCACAATCTGGAAAAATGGAATGCTTACTGTGTAATGAATGTGCATGTTACCAATTTAGGGTTACTAAAGCCTGTAGTAAACTGGGGGTTCCAGTAGCTGTGAATGTGTTACTCCAAGGGAAACTGACTTTAAATTGACTGCAGAGGTAATGTTAGATGCCAGCTGAAGTCTAAAGATCTGGACTGTACTGGCCAAATAAATTCTCTTAAATTACAAGTCACAAGTATACATTTGGAAGTGATGTTTCTCATGATCTAAAAAAAATAAAAAAACTTTTGATCTAAAGTCGTATTCCTATAGTTTTTTTTGTAAATAAATAAATACATGTTTTTGTTATTTATTTTAAAGAAGAAAAGGGGATCATTAATCATAATAATAATAATGACAACCCCTTGAGGGGTTATATATATATATATATATATATATATAGTTTGTTTGTTCAATCATGAATTCATTATTTTTATTTAATATTAGCTTTGATAAGACATTTTTATTGTGCTACTAATAAAACTTCTTAACAAATAATAATAATAATAATAATAATTATTATTATTATTATGACATATTTTATTTCTATCAAATTATTGAGAAGTGAGGAGGGATTGAGATTGAAGATTGAGACATGTTGCAGGTCAGGTTCAAACCTGTTTTGCCTGCATGAGCATGTGTTGTTGTATCAATGAAGCTATGTACGTTGGGTGTAAACCATTGTTAATAATAATAATAATAATAATTATTATTATTATTATTATTATTGCTGTTGTTGAAATGATAGCTAACCAGCAATAACAAGTCTTTCTGGTGAATCTGGTTCACTATAGATAATTCCAATAGCCAAGTAGCAGCACTAGCAATCCAGCATCCCATAATGGGCACCGGTATCCAAAACATAACATGACGGTACTTCACTTTATGTTGCTTCATAGTTTTGGTGACTTTACTATAATTCCAAAATGTGTATGATAGAGTAGATATGTCCTAGTGTTGACCATAAGTAAATAATCTAACAACCTCAAAAGTATCTCATGACCCACATTGTTCTCAGCACACTTGCTTTAGTAAACAATACATGTACTGACAGATGACACCATGGTGTTTTTGAAGTACGGCTGAATGCAAATCTCTGTGTATGTGGGGCATTATGATGGACTCATTTATTTCTGTGCATTCGCTAACTCTGTGTATTCGCTAACTCTAGACTTCATTGCAGTACATTTCTCATTAAAACAGAGGTAGGGCTTTAGAAGACAGATGGCACGGACATATGGACATTTAAAACATTGAACTGTAAACATGAAGCCACGGCCAGCATAATGTCCTGCAGTTTTCCGAGCAGAGAGAAACATTTTAAAATAAACACTTGTATTGGGCCATTGGGTTGGTGTGGGGTCGATGTGGGGCATGTGCTCACACACACACTCAGTGAGAAGTGAAGTGGATGTTTGTGGAGATAAACCCTGCAAAAAAGAATGATTTCTCAACTCAAGCTGTGCTAATGTCTCACGAAGAATCCTTAGATGAACAAATAATTACCTCCCTGTCTTATCATCTGTGGGCTGTGACTTCTTCTTTTTTATTTTTTTTTCTTGTGTACAGGCTTTTTTTCCCTATTTGGAAGCCTTCCAAATACAGCATAAGCCCACATCTAATGTTGAATGAATGTAAAATGTTCTGTAGAATCATCTAATTTGATAAGAGAAATATCTTGCAATTCAATCACTAGTCTACTAGACTATTAGCATCAAGTCGAGTCCGCTTTGCAGGTCATTGTAGCCAAGTAAGATTTCATGTCACCAGGGTTTGATGTATGATGAGTTTATAAAAGCTATGGGGGAAGTCACAGTGCATTTGATTATTTTATGTTTAATGTTAATGTTTATTTAAATTCAGATTAAATTCAAGTGCTTAAAGACCCTAAGTCTCTCTGTGTGTGAAACCATCTCATTGACTTGACCTGTTTCAGCACCACGGACAGCGACATGCAGTGCTGCAGGGAAATGTGTCTGTGTCTGAATGTACTGATCCAAGGCTTAGAACGATGACTGTGGAAATGTGCTTCAGTTTAATGCAACTCCTACACAGCAAATTAACTGAAATAACCCTGAACGATGGTGATGTGTCTTGCCTCTTCGTCTTGCAAATGAGGAAACAGAAGGGCAAAGGGGAAGTTCTATATGAGCAATCTATAATCAGCCTCATTTGGATTGAAACGGTGTAATTACTAAGGTGGAAAATAAATAAATAAATATGCATATCACACTGAAATACAAGCATATACACTACTGTGAAAAAAAGTTGATAGACTTTTTTTTCTGTTTTTGAACATAGAAGTCTCTCTTACAAATGTCTCTCATGATGACCAAGGCTGCATTTATTTAATCAAAAAGTAAAAACTTTAATTATAGTCAAATATGTGACCCTGGACCACAAAACCAGTCATAAGGGTCATTTTTTTTTAATTGAGATGTATACATACACTGAATAAATAAGCTTTCCATTGACGTATGGTTTGTTAGGATAGGACAATATTTGGCCGAGATACAACTATTTGAAAATCTGGAATCTGAGGGTGCAAAAAAATCTAAATATTGAGAATATCGCCTTTAAAGTTTTCCAAATTAAGTTCTTAGCAATGCATATTACTAATCAAAA